GTGTTGTGGGTGTTAGGAAGACCACTTTGTAAATGGCTTCTAGGCAAAACAGACGGTTTATCTCTTTGGCCTTTTAGCAGACTTACAAATCTAATTGCGCGTGTGTACAAAAAATATTACACGACTGCATAAAGCGTGCAATTGTTGAACGGCCTACCAATCCACACACACACATAAATATATATGTTTGTATGTATTTAGAAAACCGCTGCATTACCATGTTGCATTTAATAGATATGTGTGGCGGAGTGTTTCCGTAAATAAATCATCTCACGTTCCACATAACAGAACTGCATGCACATACATACATACATACATACATACATACATACATACATACATACATACATACATACATACATACATATATACATAAATAGCAGCTTACTTGTGTATAAGTTTCTATGTAGCGCATTAAGCTATTAGTCAACTCACTTTACAACAAACTCACTTACCTCTAAAAGTGTTTATTTGGAATGCTTTTGTTTTGCTTCGCTTTCTATACCCTCTACAGAGTTTATGGCATTAAGTTTGCTGCGAAGTTTGTAACACCCAAAAAGAAACGTCGGAGACATGAAAGTAAAAAGATATCGAACTGAAATTTTCCACACGTTCTTTTCTTCCCAAGAAACTGCTCATTTGTCGGAATTGCTGATATCGCATCAGTATAGCCCAGAGCTCCCATACAAATTGAACATTTCGATTCACGTGCTTGTGTGGAAAACTTTTTTATTTGAAAACATATCTTCACGAATTTTGGCATAGATCATTTTCCAAGGCAACGCTACAATCTTCCAATATATAGTTCAAATCGAACATCCATAACATAGAGCTGTCATACAAACTGCACTTTCAGAATGACATTTATGTATGGAAAACTTTTTATTTGTAAAGATATCTTCACGCAACTTTATCATGGATTATTGTTCAATTCAGCGCTACAAATTTCGTACAAATTTTTCAGATTGGAGCACTACAGCATATAGCTGCCATACAAATTGATCGATAGAAAACAAGATAACTGATTATACCCTTTTTATGCCATAAAAAGTACAACTGTGCATGGTATAGAGCTACGGTGGCGTTAAATTGAACGTTTTTCTACTTTTATTTAGACTAACGATAAATGCATTTTGTTTTGCCACATGCTTTACTTTATTTCTATTTTATATTGCTTTTGTTCGGTGATGTGCTAAGCATCCTGAAGATCTGTATGGCTTTAAAATGATTTAGTATACAATATACATAAATTTATCAGTATTAAATGATATTCAAATGATTGTATATTTTTCGAAATACATATAAATTTGTTACAGACACACATATGTATAAGGCGACGAGTGGTTTTTAATTACTCAATGAAGTCACGTTTTCAATATCCAACGAGCATCAAAGCGTAGCTGCAGTTTTACTTAGTATAAAAACAATCACATTTGCTTCTTTGTTTATATATACAAACATGCTGCTATAGTGCCTTATCGATTTCGATCTTTATTTGGCTTAATGCTGGCGCATTTTACAGCTGTTTGTTTATAATGCAATGTTAACCAGGCATATGCTGGCTCAAATGTTTATGTGTTAATATTTAGTTGTTATTTTTAAGTTTATTACAGACAAGCCTTTTTAGGTCAAAGCACATTTGACTACAAATTGAAACAGAGGAATAACAAAATAAACAAGTTTTAAAAAAACTATAGAATTTTCACTGTTCTTTTGAAGAAGATTGGCTTTGATGCGAAACTACTGAAGGTAAACTTAACTACGAGACAGGACTATGTCCATTCATAGTATATATAAGCATATAATTATTTATATATGTAACAAAAATCCAGTAGTTTTTTAATTTACATTACAAAACATCACTATAAATAACAGAAGACTCTCTAATTCAATCAATATATTGACACACAACTTGCTTAATATTACATTATTAATTCTTCTTTCAAACATTATATGGATATTTTAGCTCATTAGCACATTAGAGTAACTCAGCTGTGCTTTAAATTCATTCGTATTGACGGCTGAGATGAAAAGATGTTAACCTAAAAGTTCACAGTATCTCAGTGACATGATACATTAGTGCTTCAAATAAGCATTTTACAGCCATTCATAGATATTTACATGTGTGCTTAAACTCACTTTTAGTTTCGGTCAAGTTTCTCTTCATAAATCTTCAATTTTTATTATGCATACATTATTTCCAACAATTTCATGGTGACCGACCTATCATCAGCTGCGGCAACGGCAAGAAAGTGCAAGTAAATAAGAAAAGAAAAGTAAAGTAAACAAATCATCTTTCATTATAAAATATGCAAATTCATGCATAGTTTATGCCTTCCACAAAAATGAAAGCCAATTAACAGGGCAAAATGATCAATTTAAATAAAATTATGCATTTACAATGCTCTAAACCCAATCCCATGGGAAACTCCATTTGTTGTAGAGATGAAATGGGTAATTTGTATTTTATCCGCGAATAATTTATGCGTTACAAGCCACTAAACATTGGAGGTGGGCGTGGGTGGGCTAGTAAAACGCGAAAGTAATATGTTATAACGGCAATTATGTAATTGAATTGAATAATTTTTTAGTTAAACTGAATTTCTTAACATCTTCTTAAAACAAGAAATGGTAAAGTCAAAAACCAAACCTGTTGGGGAGTGCATGTGTGGCATAAATTGATTTAAAATAAGAATATTAGAGCTTTAAACTTAAATTTAGCATCGAAAGTGTAAACACATGCATAAATATGCACATATTTTGCTTAAAGTGTCACATTTCCAGTTTTATTCTTGCGCATTTCAAAATCTGAATTATCATTCAAAAACCAAGTTTCAGGTTTAATGTTTAAAAACAAAATTCTCATCATATACAATTGAAGAAAGAACTGTTAATCCTCATTTTTCACTTAACACATAAAAAACAAATAAATTACTGACCGGCTGACAAATATAACGATCAAGTTGAAAAAATTATGCATACACGGTTTTTAAAAAACGCTCATTCAAATGTCATTTCATACAAAAATATGCGCATATGACAGAACAGAAAGTAAAGAATAACAACATAATGAACCCAATTTTTTCACATGGAAAACAAATATCCTTAAAGGTTTTTTGGGAGCATAACCGATCATTTTTCATACCCACCACCCAAACTGCGCAAAACTTAAAGCAACAACTGCATAAACTGGACCTTTTCGAAAAAGTTTCGCGACAGTATTTTAGTATGCAATTTGTGGCACGCTACAGAAAGAAAGTATTTAAAAACAGCAACGATAAAAATATTTTCAAATCACTACAATTTAAGTAAATGTTTGTTACTAACCTTAAAACTTTTAATAACGCTGATGATGGATGTACATACAAATTTATTTATTTACAAGGGCGGTGCAGCTTTAAAACCAAGTTTGCATGTGCATAGAAGCTACACACAAATATTGAACGCTGAGTAATAAATGCACTATAAAGCGTTTTACATATTTTTACGCTGCATTTTCGATTGATTTTAATTATTGCAGTCCTATATACGCTTCTCAATTGTTGATATGCACTTGTATAAGCTGTAGACACAATCTTTTTAGAACAATTGTACGTTCTAATTATTTAAAACCATTTTCATTGCTGCAAATCAATTTATGGTTTCAATTTATTTCAAACACGATTATACTGAGCCACCATTTAGTACGTTTTATAAAAATTTAAAAAATTTGCTCTACTTTTTTAATCACCTAATTTTTATTTTGCACTTTTATGGTCATAAAAACGACGGAACTCTGTTCGGCATTACAATATGTGCCGCCAGCTGTATTTTTGCCTGCGCCGCACCAAGCAACGACGACCCTTGTTTTGGTCAGCGATGCGAATCGCGAAATTAATGTACACACATATGTATGTGTTAGATATCAAAAATTATATCTCCACAGCCGGCTGGATTCTCCGCCCTTTACGTACTATTTACGATATTAACGAGTATTAAATCAAATTCTATGTATAAAATGCTTTAAAATTAAATATCACTTTTCACAAAAAAATTTTACACAGTTAGGCAAATTAGTTTATATTGCAAGCTACGCGCCGATATTTAATAATTCGAAAAACAAATACGCGTACTCGCGAACACACCACCTTCTCCAGCAAACGCTTTAACTTGACTCGTCATAGCACAAAAGGGAATTCAAAATGTTCGCCTCAACTGCTACCAGTATGCCTCTTCACGTACGGACGCAGCCAAACCAGACGTCGTTTGTTTTCATTTGGAATTTACAATCAAACGTACATAAATATGGATATATTTGTGCGTAGCGTTACCTCAACGTACTCTTGCTGCCAACAACTCACTTCAAATCCCCAATCCACAGCTGTTTGTTTGGAGCTCCAATAGCTACCACCAATTGGCTGCTCTCTGTGCTAGCGTTCTTCGTACCTACCGGCTTGCACCTTCGTCTGGTGCAACGAATCAACAAATGTAAAGCGCCGGTGTACGGAAGACGAAGGTTTAGTTTTGTGTATAGTATAAACTTTATATATATATATACGTATACTACAAAGAGTAAATTTACGTTGGCGCACTCAGCTCTTTGTTTTCAAATGTCAATCGCGATTTCGGCGCGTTTGTTTTGAATATTAAAGCTTTGCTTTTATTTTCGTTGTATCCAATCAGTTATTGTATATTGCTGTGTGTCGACATTTAGCGTCGAGTTGCTTTAATACACAGTGTTGCATGGGTTCGATTGGACTGCAATGCGTTCCACAAACAGACAAGAATGTGGGAGAGGCAAATAAAATTTGAATTTTCTATGCAATTGCACAGAGTGATTGTACACATACGTAATTGTAATGTATATTTAAAACTTAGCAACTAGCAAGTCTTCACTACATTTATTTATAGTAAACACAAAACCTGCAAAGAGTAAATTTTTTGGGCGCATGCGCGTTAACTTTTATCGGATTTACAAAATATGGCAATACCCACGATTGTTGTCATACCAATTCATGAAAGTCAGTGCAGTCAGCGGCTATCTCTTTTTAGCAACGAATTTGTAACGCCAAACTGAAAATGATATTATTTTGTTGATATTCCTTTGAGTAAAGGCCTTTGTTATATTTGTATATATATATATTTTTTTTTGTTTCTTGTAAATGCGCGGTTAATTGTAATCTTATATATTAAAATGAATCCAAATAATATGCTCTTCCGATTGGAAGATCTTACAGCTGAAAAAGTATACGCCGAATATGGCATAACTGAAGAAGAACGAATGAAAAATCCGGAGTTTTATAAATTGTTCGTCGAAGATTTCGTGAGTATTGGTCGCAAGTCTAWCAAAAAATTTTGAATGAAATTATAACTCAAATTTTACGAAATTACCACAGATACCCACACGGGAAGACCTGCAACGTGAAATTGATGAAGAAAAGCTGAAAGAATTGTGTCAACGTTTACCATGTCGCGTTTTAATGCARCGTTGGAATCCTGTGCAAGATTTTGTGAATCAATTCACGCGCCAAGGACGCATACAACGTTGGACGAAAGAGAAAACTCAAAAACTTTTAGTAAAAGCAGTAACTCGACACAAAAACATATGCCTCTATAGTGATGATGAAATACGAAAACAACGCGAACGGGAATGGTGCGAAAGAAAAAAAGAAAATTTGATGCGTCTAGAAGTTTGGGAATACGACCGACAGCAGCAAGAATTGCATGATGCGCAACCCGAAGAAGCACAGCACACAATCTGCGATACACAAAACACTGAAAATAATAATGTGATCGAAAGTGAAAAACCCGAAATTGATATTATACAAAAGGATACATGTGCAGACAGTGCTGCAGCTTCACCTATTCTCGATATCGAGGCTGCAATGTCGGAGTTGCATGGCACCCCACTACAACAGACGCCTTCAGATATTGTACCTATACCGCCGCTCAGTCAAACTACACATTTAAATGCAGCCGATTTTACAACAAATCTTTTGCCACAAAGTCAAGTGCAACAACCCATTTCACTACCTAGCACGCAAAATACCGAGGAGCTTGCTGGTCGGGAATATGTTGAAATGGTGCAAGAAATTAGTGTTAATGGTATGCCTAGGTTAGATGACTTTATTAATGTTAATACGGAGTCTATGCAATTGGAGGATTCCATAACAATTAATTCAGAGGACGTTTTTAATGGTGAATGCACACCGCCATACTATGAGTTCAACACACATGTGTCAATGACGTCAACACAATCACCGACTGCCAAGTAATTTGTTCTAGTAGCTAACATATATAGTTATATTTTTGATATAAAATGTTAAAGTTTTAATTAGTATTTTATACGAAAATTATTTGTGGAAAATATAATGTCATGGCAATATAAAATAAAAATTAAAATATGTAACCATTAAAAGTAATTGTRTTTATTTATGGTAGCGTAAATTTCAAGCAACGCTGCAACAGTAAWTTATTCATATTCACATGTAAGCGTAATAAAAACACAATTTTRTAAACTTGTTCCGAAAAAGGTTAACTTTTATTAATACATGAGTATTATTACGTTWTCTTCACGTAATTGAAAAGTCGTGGGGAAACAGCATTTCCGTATGTTCAAACAATAGCTGCGTAACGGCATAACAGAATAAACAAATTCATAATTAACTTAAGTTTTACATTTTCTATGCACATACTTATGTATGTAGCGTATGTAAGCATTCGTTATAACAATTAGTTTATGTCGTAAAACCATATCGTTTATATATTTGTAAACTGTGTAAGCGTGTTGGTTTTTTGAAAACTTATTTGCTAAATACGTTTCTCAAAGGACAGTTATACATTGTCATTTCAGGCTTTGGTTGTAGATTTTAAGCGTTACTCAAGTTTGTTCGTGTTGAGGTGGTGGTTGTGGCTTAAACTGATACGGCCAAAATTTGCTTGATGGTTTCACTTGAGCTAGGTAGCTGTTTCGATTGCAAAAAACAAAACAAAAAATTATATATACATTTAGATTAGTTGATTTTTTGTTTTTTTAATCTTTAGAACTGTTCAAATGTGCATGTGCAGTCAATTGTTGTTTGTTGCTGTTAGTGGCGTTTTCAAAATTTTTTAACTATCGCATCTAACTACTTTGCTGTTGATGGGTGTGAAAAGGCGATATTTTTGAAATATATAGAGTTTACGATAATGGGATCTATTCAATATGCGTATGTATACATACATATGTGTGGGTATGCATGGAGGGATATATACAAATTAAGGGCCTGCGTTCAGTTGCGAGGTGATATTTCACAAGCAACCGTGGCGTGTGTGGAAATTGGACATTATTTTAAAAAAGCGCCGCGGCGCTAATGTTGAAAGGGAATTTCAAAATTAATTTTTTTTAAAAAACACCACATACACAATACATACATAATTACTTAATTAAGCTTAACAGTTTATAAAGGTACTTTATCAGAAAAAGGCAGGATTTTTAAAGGGTTATTAGGGCAGTTCTTAAATGATGAAATATAAAAAAAATAAAATTTATTAAAAAAATTAGAATATAAAAATGAAAAAATTGAAAAAAAATTAAAAAACTAAAAAAAAATCAAAATAAATTTAAAAAAAATTTTAATTAAATCTTTGTCAACAGTTGTGCAATTTTTTGTTAAATATGAGGCCTTTGGCGACTAATTCGTAATAAATATTGCATGTTATGTATACATACAAGTGCACATAATTATAAACACATATAGATTAATGTTAATTAGCAATTATTGAATTAGTACAAAAATTTATTTCTGACAAAATACGAGTTTACATAATATTAGTTTGCGTTTTAGCAATATTATTAGTAAAATATTTTTTTTATATACATTTTTAAGCCTTTTTTGTTTTTTTGGCATGAGAAATACAAATTCATTTATTTAGCAGCAAATTTAATGCATACATATATATATTTATATATTTGTTATTAAAACTAGCATTTAGTTGCACAATATCAATTCGTAAAGTGATTACAAAAATATGGTTAATTTGTTTTGGGAGTCGTACAAAAATGCCACATATTTATACACATACATATATTTAATATTTACATTAGTTCAACGTACATATCATAATTACTAAAGTATTAGAGCTTAGCGCACAACACACATACAAGCCATAAACAACTTAACATATATATGTACACATATCGAGAGTTTTAGCAAATTAAATCCTACAACTAGAAAATTAGTTTCACTTATACATAGACAAACATACTTTTATAACTGTACGCAAGTCGACAAGTTAATACTTATGCTTTAAAGTTTCTAAATTAGTATAATTAGACACTAGCTCAGCTAGTTTAGTTATACGAAATGCTTGCAAAACGAACGAGCAACGGATTTCAGCAAACTGACGTGCGATTAGTGGGTTCTCAGGTTTACATTGGTCTGGTTGTATGTATGTTTGGTAGTTCCAGTCGAACAACGGCACGTTAGTAGCATTGATTTCGTTTCACACTCACCCATCATTCAGTTTTCGCCGGCGTGCAACGGCGCTATTTTTAATTATTTCCGAAACTTCACGACCGCCCGAACTTTCACCTTCCGAGGTGGAAGCGATTGTGTCAGCACCACGCAAACCGGCGCCACCGCTCGTCGCTGTCGGTGGACGGCCCAAATTCGAGAGATTACGCACGAGACTAACAGCGTCGTCGTGTTGTGGCGCGCCACCGGACGCTGCGGTTGCGGCACCGCTGACATACGCATCCTGCACGCGATTGGCGTTGTGTGTCGTTGCCGATTTGCGCAGATTGGAGACGGAGGCGTGTGTGGAGCTTTTCAGCCGATTTTTCAATTCGGAACTCAAGTCCATGGGCATAAAGCCGACACCGATGGACTTGGATTTGAGTATGCCTTTCGGTGGTTCGAAGGCCGATTTGGTTGGTAGCAATTGAGCGGCAACTGTGTGAATGAAAACAATAAAAGTAATTAGTTATAATTTGTTTGAATTTGGCGCTAAAATCTGAAATGATTTTATGTTGTATGTGCTGCAAAGGATTTGCTAAATTTGTTCACGTAACTCAATTAATAGAACACATGCGCTGTTATTTACATAAAAACGGAAAAGTAAAAGTATATAAGTAAACAGTTTAATTATTTTAACAAAAAATAGTTAAATAAAGAAAATTTAATACCCACGATTTTGTTTTTGTTTTCAGAGGAAAATAACAGTGTTACCAGCATTCATCGGTCTCACATTGACATAAAATTATTATTGCTATAAAATGGCATAACGTTCATATTGCATCCATGCTATAATTAAATTAAATGTTCACTTTTTGCGCTTACAAAGCGTGAATATGCGCAGAAGAAAAACAAAAATTTTAAGAAAAAAAGATATAAAAAAAAAAATTAATTAAAAGATTAAAAAGAAACAATC